TGGGTGAAGCAGTCACTGAGATCATTTCTAGGTGTTAACCTTTTAAAAAGTACATGCTCTAATACCAATTGTTATTTGTATGAATCCACAAAATAGTAGAGTACCTGGTCCTCTATGAGGTTAAGCTGAGAATGCTAATAAAAACTGTAAGTAAAGGAGGCAAAGGATTTTTACGTGAAAAAATCCCACATAGGGGGATCAAAAAACCACGACCTACACTTGTAGGCTTTTAACTCCACTAACTTGCAATCTCACTATTACAAGCCACTTTGTAATAATCCTATTACAAAGACTTCAATTAACTTGTGAGGCTCTCACCACAAGCCACTTTATAACTCTCCTAGTTACAAAGGCTTTAAACTTATAGCTAATCCTAGTCACAACATAAACTCGGAAGTTTACGGATTTTTGGTTTTCCTAAGACAAAGCTTCTAACAAAGCAAAATAGGAAATACAATGAAGAATAAATGACAAGATTGCAACTCAACTGTGGATATACATAAACTCATTACGAAACTGATCCTTAGTGGAGTTGTCTTTTTGTTCTTGATACACCAGTGACTTCAATGCCGGATGAACACTGTTATGCTTGAGAGAATATCACTGAATGCTCAAAGATGTTGTGCCTTGCACCGAGTTGTTGTATCATAAAAGACATCACAATAGATAGTGATGTCAATTCTTGGTACATGCTTCTTCCCAATGAGAAGTGACTACTACACTGTCTGCACAGTCACTTCTATGCAGTTGCATTCCAGCTGTATAGTTGACTTGTACTTCTGTTAGAGAACACTAAGGGACGGAGTCCCTGTTGTGTTCCTCTTTTGTACCATTTGCGAGATAGTCACTTTCTGCTGTTAAGTTCCAGCTGTACAGTTGACTTGTACTTCTGTTAGAGAACACTAAGGGACGGAGTCCCTGTTGTGTTCCTCTTTTGTACCATTTGCGAGATAGTCACTTTCTGCTGTTAAGTTCCAGCTGTACAGTTGACTTGTACTTCTGTCAGGAAACCCTAAGGGACCAGGTCTCTGTTGTGTTCCTCTTTATAATGATTGCGGACAATCACTGACTTGTACTTCTGTCGAAGAACCCTAAAGGACCAGATCACCAGGTCCCTGTTGTTTTCCTCCTTGTGGTTGTTCATTCATTTGCTGGAGATCAGACTGGACATTTATTCATTTGAAATGTATACCATGTTCTCTATCTGGTTCTTTACAATAAGTTTGTTAGATCATTAAAACATAAGAAGCATAAGGCGAAGACATTGAAAACCCATCAGTCTACATTAGAGGAGTGCGTTTGGAATCTAAGCCGAAAGTAGGGGATTCCAAAGCCTATCTTGGCACTATGCAAATAGAGCATGGTGATAGCAAGAAAAGTTGGACAGACATAGTTGAAAAGGATGGCGAATTACAAAGTTATGACACTCTATCGGACTTAGACAATGCACCAAATAGAGGGGTCAAGTTTGCTAGCAAGACTGGGACCATGAAGGGCAGCCAAATAAGGAGTGGAATGTCACGCCCCGACCTTGAGGAGAGCAACTGGCGCTTAACCGAGTGGACCAGGGTGAGGAAGCCTGTTAGACACTTTCTACCCAACCCGCTTATGACCAAGAGAAGGTGAATTTTCATTAGTTTAAATAGTATAAGGATCATATATTTACAACATTACTTATTCATTTCATTTTACTATATTATTGTTAAGTTTTCAAAATACATACACTTTACAATCTAGTGGGATAAGAATCCAAAACACATCATAATCCACCTAACCTTTCTAGAACCCATACACAACCCAAACAAATGTCTACGGAGCCTCTAAATATACAAAAGACAGTTATAACAATGTCGGAAACAGCTATACCTCAAAACGTGGCAAACATATAAACAAAAGATGCACTACATGACCCCGGGATGAAATGAGGCTCACCAAGTCTGCTGGGAAGATGATGATGATGTACCACTAGCTGCGATCAACATTGTCTGCTATATAAACACCTACATCCATTTAAAGATGTAGCACCCCCGAAAAAGGGACGTTAGCATTGTCGAATAGTACTAGTATGTAAAGCTAAAACACTATCTTAATAGAATGAACAATGAAACAAAGGGGAACGGTCATGATGTACAATAAGAGCTTCAAACAATACCAAAATATCAAGTAAGGATCACATAAGTTCTCAAGTTAGTTTTTGTCTTATTAGATTGGTAATCTTTAGTGCCATGTGCCACAATCCACAATACCACCATGTTTTTACACAGAGTCCGATCTTGACCCGATCAGCTAGGTCATTTCATTTGAGACATCGACCATATCTATAATTTCAATTATCATTTCCAGCATAATTACCACCATGTGTGCGGCATGGCATCCGATCACGGCTCGATCGACTAGGCCATCTCATTTGAGACATCATTCTTTCAATCAATCATCTCACTTCACATTTCTTTCCCATCTTTCAATGCGTTGGCACGAGTGGCCTCATTTATTAAGTCGTTCTTGGCACTTGGTCATATTTCACAATTCAAGTTTCTCTTTTTACACATTCAACATTATTATCATATTAATAGCAACAAGTTTTTTCATTCAAGACTTGATTACACACGGGAGCAATTTAGATTTTAGAGCACACAGAGGCTTTTCACACAATTTGACATAATAATCTTTATTCGAATTTGGCTTGAAGTCTAAGCATTTGTAGCACATGTTCCATATCTTTAACACATTCCCAACTAATAAGATAGCATGATGAAAGCACATGAACACATATTGCACATTTGGAATAGCAAGTTCTATACGATCAATTTGGGACTTACACCAATTTCATGAACACCAAGGGGTTCAATTCTAATAAAAGGGGGTGTTAGCCATACATACTTCGATTGAGATTTCCTTAATTTCTACAATAATTCCGAAATCCTTAGCACCTTCAATCTATTTTAGGAGTATAACAAGTTGAATAAAAAATTAGAAGGATAATCAAGATTGTAGCTCATTTGAGCACATTATCAAACATAGGCGTGCAATATATTCTTAAAACCTTTTTGTGAAAGATTCCATCATCCCACACCCCATTCTTCACCATTTTTAACTCACAATATCCCTACACTCTTTTGTAATGCATGCATGCAAGACAATCACTTCCATCCCCACGAATTACCTTTCTAGTGGCACATTCTAGTTGCATGTTGATTAAGAATTTTGGTGATAGAATCTTACCTCTTAGGAAGAATACCTAGGTGCCTCTCTTGACAACCTTCAAGTTTTTATACAAGAATTGATGAGTAATTTTTTATGAAGAACACTTCCTCCCTCTAAGACTCCCCTTTTCACTTTAAAAGCACCAGAAAATGGGCTAAAATGAAGTATGGAATGAGATATATCGACATGGGATCGGGGTCTAAAAATTAGAAATTTGAAACTCCAACATGAATCTGCGATCCGCGAAAGTGTCCCTTAGGGACCTGAATTTTCTGCTTCGGTCTGCGACCATTATGCGGTCCGTAAACTTGTTTTGCGGTCGCATAATGCACCACAAAATCTCCCTTCATAAAAGTCCAAGGCTGATTATGCGACCAAAGTACAGCCCGCGAAGTGATTATGCGGTCGCATAATTGGCCGCGAAATTGACCTCAAAATTGGCCAAAAAGACTGTCTCACTCTGCGGCCATTATGCGGCCCACAAAGTGATTATGCGGCCCATAATGGGCCGCAGAAACGCACACTTCTGCAAAACATTTTCCTTTAACTCTGTTCAATCCAAAAAGTCCAAACCGCGACAGCAATTTCTAACACATAATCCTAACTTGGCACCACGAAATTTCGGGTTTTAGGAAAATTTTTACGGGGCCTTACATGGAAGCATAGGCCCGATGCTTGAAAAGCTGCTAGATTTGGTTGAGTCTTGGGGAGATTCAGGCCAAGATCAAGGAGAGGAATTCGGTGGGCACTGATCGAGGCCATCATTGCCAGCCGTCCAAAGTACAAGTGGGGAAAGAAGAAAGGTGACTAGTACCTTGTGACATGGGTAGACGAACCGCTCCAAGGGCATGATGCTAATAGACAAAGATATCCAACGACACCAAGGTGAGGTGTGTGCGTACGCGTCGATACTTTGTGCCGAGGGCGCCACAAAATTGGGTAGCGGAGAGTGTCATGGCCTGCCACATCATCATTCCACATAGGTGACACTTGGCATATATTTTTGCCATATGGAAAACTTATATAGGAAAGAGGCTAGAACTTATAGGAAAATTCTACAGAAATATATAGGTTTCCGTAGGAAGACCCTAGAACCCTATGAATTTGCTAGGAAAGTCCCTGTAAGATTCTAGCTATAAGAAAATTCTAGAGAGGGGTCTTACTTGTAAATAATAAAGGACTTGTATGACAATTAATATTTACACACTAGCCCCAACGAGACTAGTATATAAATGTGCCATTCATTTTTAAATTCACCAAGCAAAATAATCAAGTTCTTTCTAATACAAAGGCTTCCTTTGGCAATGCTTTTGTGTTCTAACATTCCCTTAGCAATCTTTAGTGTAATAAGATTGACTTGGCATAACAAAAACATGAGCACATTGTATAAAATCGTGAGCAAGTTGTCAAATGGCGCACATGCGCTTAGTTGAAGGCTAAGGACGTGACATTTGGCTACATAACGCCAATTTTTGCGGGCTTACGATAACAAATTTGCCAATTCATATTATATGTTGTCACCTAGTGTCATAACATGCCTTCACATTACTCCCTCCGTCCATAATAATGATTTTTTGAATTTTTTATTTTGGTATAAAATAAATTTCATTTTGATATAATCGAGAATGAATTAATTATTATTTTTCAATTTTGCCCCTATTTACATATACCAATGCGTCAAGTTAACAATATGCAATATATTTAATTAAGGGTAATTTAGTCAAAATACTTATTTGTTTTCTAAGATAAATGCTAGGGCAAAAAGTCCTGTAAATTGTAAGTCGCAATTAACAAAGGCGAACTGTATATCTTCACTTATTTTCCTTTTTTTAAGGGAGGGGTCGTCGTGAAAGAGGATAACCGGCGCCACTGGGTGGAGGCTGAGAGCAAACGCAATGGCTCTTTCATTTGCTAAATCCACTTTCCTCTCCAACCCCACTTTATACTTTCCCAAGAATGGCATTAGAGGCTTTGGACTTCTCCTCCCCTTCTCTTCATTTTCTACTTCCTCTGCTCTTCCCAAGAGGAGGCAAACAGTAGTCTCTGCTCTTGAGCTTGGTGGAGTCAAGATTTCTAAAGATGGTCAGTATACTTACGGGGAATAACAAGTTTTATCTCTTTGTATATTCACTTCAATTTTCAGTTTCATGATTTTGGGATAGTAAAGTTTGAATCGTTTTTGTTAGATAAGTAGTAAAGTTTGAATTTTTATGATTGTAAAATCTAAAATTTCCATCCGGGCCGGTCTAATTGGGGCCAAATGGAGCAGAATTGATATTGAGGATTTGTATAGCAAACCTTATACTAGTTTGTGATTAAGGCGTAGTAGTTGTAGCAAGTTTTATTTCTTAGTATATTCACTTCAATTTCCAATTTAAATGATTTCGGTTAGTAAAGTTTGAATTTCTTCATTGGATATGTAGAAAAGTTTGAAGTTTTATGATTGTAGAATTTAATTTCTCATCTGGGTCAGTCTAATTGGGTCCAAATGGAGCACAATATTTTCTTTTAATGGAGCAAATTGATATTGAGATTTGTATAGTCGACCTTAAACTAGTTTGGGATTAAGACGTAGTAGTTATAGTAATAGCTTCTGGGTAGTTTATGAAATGGTATTTTTGTAGTTTGCTCACCAGTGGAAGCTATTAAAGTTTGCATTTTGATGAGCCCCTAGGGCTTTGGTCTAGTGGTAAGAGCGTTAGGGGCACGCCACGGGTCGAACATGCTACGGAACACAAATCTGGTATTTAAGTTGAGAATAGTAGATGGGTGGGCTCAATATATATCGAACCGTGCACTGTTCCTGCTGTTCCCGGGGATTTCTTGGTTATCAAAAGAAAAAGAAAAAAGTTTCCATTTTGATGACTTGGGTGCATTAAATGTTTGAAGGTTCAAGTTCTATACATTGGTGTATTCACTTTAATTTTATTTACATGACTTGTGCTACTGAACTTCAAATACTTTTGATCTTAGAATGTAAATTTCTCTTCTGGGTATATAGTGATATTGGAATGTTGTAGTTTGCCCACCATTTGAGGGTATTCAAGCCCAGGTGTATTAAAATTTGCAGATGTACTTTATTTTTTGGCTAGATCATATTTTTGCAAATTCTAATTGTAATGAAGTGGGAGAGGGCGGCCTAAGATGTATTGGGGAGAGGTGATCAGGCAGGACATGGCGTAACTTCAGATTTTCGAGGACATGGTCCTTGATAGGAAGGTGTGGAGGTCGAGCATTAGGGTGGTAGGTTATGAAGTAGCTGAGCATTTTTTTCGTTCCGGGTGGGAGGCTGGTCTAATAAGGTTTTGTCCTAGGCTGCTAGCGATTATTGTTGTGTCCACACTATTCTTCCGTTTTTGTAGTGCCGGGCCTTATTCACTTGTAGTGCCGGGCCTTATTCACTGATTTTTGATATTGTTTTTCATCTATTTTCTGGTTCTTATGATGTTGTTGTTATTCCTATGGTTCTATTGATGATACTAATATAGTGTCTCTTTTCGTCTTCTTGAACCGAGGATCTTTCAGAAACAACCTCCTTACTCTCCGGAATAGGGGTAAGGTCTGCGTACACTCTACCCTCCCCAGACCCCACTTGTGGGAACTCACTGGGTGGTTGTTGTTGTTGTTGTCTAATTGTAATGAACTTCAGAATCACCCATTCACAAATACAAGAAGAAATAAACAAGTTCAGAAAGTGTACTCTGTGTAGCTTCAGTATCTGTGCTGTTGCCATCTAAAAAATTTGAGTTCTTGTTAAATTTGTTGTTTAGCTGCTGGGTAGTTACTAAAAAACCCGACCTATCTATCTGATCACCAGACCAGTCCAACCTGGCTTTTTAGAAAATTTTATTGACACATCAATGCTAATTCTACCAGTACCAGCAACAAGGTAATTGTTTGTGAAAAGCTGAATAGATGGTTAACTATCTGTTTCTGCAATGCTGTTTCTTTTGGGCGATGAATTGCCGGTCACTTGTTTTATGGGAGGCATTCAGTGGACCATGCCAACTCACCAAGTTATATTAGAGAATTCTTGTTCAAATGGCGTTTGTACTATTGTACAGCAAAAGTAACCGCAAAAAGGTGTGGGAAACCATCACTATATTTATTTGGTGTGTATGGATGGAGAGGAGTAGATAACACTTCCGAGGAGTTGAAGTGCGGATTCATATTTTCAAGGCTAGTTTTTTGATTGTTGAAGGTAATTTTAGTGATAAACCAGCAGCAAGCAGATGCTGAAAAAGGACTAACTAAAGCCTTTACAGTTCCAAGGCTAGTTTTGGTGGATCTTTTTCCCTTTCCTTCTTTTCGTGAGATGAGAGTTCTTCAAAATAGTAACACTTTTCTTCTTTTACTTTCCTTTTTCGGCTTTTTGGATTGGTCGCTTATATGTAAACAGACTCTTGCTATAGGGCCTTCTCTTGTAATTTCAAGTCCTTGTTCAGGGTGGTTTAGTAGACTATTTTGTATGGGAAGGTGCCCACTTTGTGCTTAATAAAATTAATATCTTTTCTTCAGATTTTCCTATGAACAAACAAGGTTTGAGTTTGTTTTCTTTTTCCTGTTCTTTGTGTATCAAATAGAATTGGCCCTCTGGGGCTTTCAGAAAAGCTCTTGTAGGCATGAAGACAAGTAACCAAGCTCAGTCTTAGAGGGTGTTTGGATTAGCTTTTAAGCTGGTCAAATCAACTTTTAAGCTTTTTAAAAGTTTTTTTTAGTGTTTGGCAAACTTAAAAAGTGCTTAAAATAAGTTAAAAATTGCTTAAAACAAGCCAAAAGAAATAAGCTGGGGAATCCCAACTTATTGCTTTTTGGCTTAAAAGTTATTTATGCTGAAAAGCCACTTTCTTTAAGCCAATCCAAACGGGCTCTTATATGTCTTACCTTTTGTATTTCTCCTTTTTTCTTTTGTAGTTTGTTAAAATTGTAACTCTTCAAGTATAGACAGTTTCTATCTTCACTTATAAGTTATAACCATGGCGTTATGCATATCCATTGTGTTTTTGTGAGTAAAGCTTGTTTTCATCTTTTGTACATCTTTTGTTCCCTTGATAGTGCTTTTAACAGAGAGAATATTTTATTCTATCACCTGGTAATTGGTACTAACGTGATCACTGAATTTACAGAAATAGTAAGGGATGACCCCACAAACAATATTCCAGATACAATATTTGCAAAGCTCGGAATGCAGCTTCATAGGAGGAACCAGCATCCGCTTGGCATCCTTAAGAATGCGATCTATGATTATTTTGACACAAACTATCCGGACAAGTTTGACAAGTTTGATGATCTGTGCCCAATTGTTTCTATTAGACAGGTTGGTGCGAAAAGGTTAAGGAAGCATTTTTTTGCTCTTCAAGATTTTGTCTTTTCAATAATATCTGCTTTCTGGCGTTTCTGTGCTAGAATTATGGTCCTTTCTTATCCCATTGATCAAATTTTTTCTATATTCATAAAGCTAGCATTAGCATCTGTGTAATTTTCCACTAAAACTAGGGTCCCAACAAGTCCTTGTTTTTGGCCTATTTATAGGGTTCCTCATGCTAAGTCGAGTAATTAATTCTACCCTCCTACTCCTGAAGGCCTAATTCTATTAACTCCAAGGCCAAGAATACTATTCCCGTCAATTACGAGTCAGGCACATCAATCATTCAGTCACCAACCTATAGAGAGTGGTAGTGAAGAAGCCTTTAGAATCATCAAAATTTTCAATGATAGGTTGAGATACTATTCAGTATATCTACCGCTTTCAGCTGCTTGATTTACATCTCTTAATCATGTTATTACATGTGTGTATAATTAGGAAGAATAGCTCTATGATGGTATCAAACTGGAACACAAATTTATGATCGCTTTTAGGATAGGAAAGTTTGCCCGCCCCTGGCATTATATAATGGTTCCATTTTTAATCTTAACTGGAGTGCAACTAGTACAGGTAGGACTTGAAGTATATCTTATAATTTTGAAATGCAGCACCTAGATCTATTAGCATTGGAAACCTTAGATATTTGAGAATCTTGGTTGATTGAGAAAACCTGGGAGAAAGGATGTTAGGTGTAGCTAATATAGCTGTAATTTTCATCCCTAGGGAATGAGTTAAATTTAGCCGTGAAATTTATAATGGATTACTATTGTATTGTTTGAATGTCCTGAGTTTCAACCCAAAGAAAAAGTATCTTTAGACACCATATTTGTTTTGTGCATCTTGCGTTTTCCAGAAGCACACAGACCCCAGCCAATAGAAATGTAGTCCTAATCATGAGCTCTTAAACTTAAAAGCTTATATAGTCTTTAAGCTGTTTCTTATTCGTCTTCGGCGTTCATCCATGTTTAATGATAGGATATGCATATACTGCACTTGGATGTTTCCCTTTTGTTCATTTATCTTGGCAAGAAGTTATTAACTTTGGTTTCTTTCTCTTCTTACTGCGATTTGTGGATTCCTACCTGCAGAACTTTGATGAAGTCTTGGTACCTGCTGATCATGTTAGCAGGAGTTACAATGACACATATTATGTGGATTCTCAAACTGTTCTAAGGTGCCACACAAGCGCACATCAAGCTGAGCTACTGAGGAATGGACACACCCATTTTCTCGTTACCGGAGATGTGTACCGTAGAGATTCGATTGATGCAACTCACTACCCTGTATTCCACCAGGTTCTCTACCTGCAAACATATTTCTCCGGAGATGCAAATTTCTGTGTGGACTTATCCTTTAATGGTTTTTTGCGATACTGTGTAGATGGAGGGTGTACGGGTCTTTGCTCCAAATGATTGGGAGGGTTCAGGTACTGATGCGACGTCACATGCCGCAGAAGATTTAAAGAAATGTCTTGAGGGTTTGGCACGACATCTATTTGGTAGGATTCTTGATCTAAATGCGTCATGATGATTTCGCAATAATTTACCATATAAATATTGGGATTGCAACCAATAATGAGTCATGAGGATTTGACTATTATTTACCATATAAATATCGGCATTGCAACCTCTCTCCTACTATATGACTTCCTTACATCATTAGCAGGTGGTCCTTGGATGCCAGCTATTTATGTTCATCTCATCTTAGAAGTGTGATGGGGGGGGGGGGGGGGGGGGTGATAGTTGCATATTTTATTATTCTTTCTTGCTTTTTTCCATCTTAATACTTTACGTGTCTCAATTAGCACCTGATTTTTAGGGCAGTTATAGAGAGCTAAGTAGACTGCTAGATAATAGGATGAAGTCACTGTAAGAAGTAACAATACCTATGGATCGTATCTGATATTATGATGTAGTTGGTTGCTTCCCTGTTAAATTTCCAGCAGATCAGTGGACTCAGGAGGGGTCCAATCCTCTGCTGCTTTTCCTTATTTTGTCGATCTTCACTTCATTGACGATGTTCCTCTATCTCATTTCTATCGTGTATAAATCTTATAGCTTGTCCTCTTTTTCAGAAATCTTCAGAAACCATCTTTCTACTGCAAAATTTCTTTTAAAGTGACAAAGATTTATGAATCTTCAACCTAATCCTTCTAGTTCTTCAGGTGGTGTGGAAATGCGCTGGGTTGACACTTATTTCCCCTTTACTAATCCATCATTTGAACTGGAGATATATTTTCAGGTATACTACATTCTTTTGTTTCCTTTTATCCCCCTCCTCTCTAGATGTTAAAATCGGGATAATATGTGAGTTATTTTTGTGGTCTCATCAGATCACTTGATAAGATGCTATAAAATGTATAGATGTGTGTGTGCGTTTTTTTTT